CTCTACCCAGGGGGACAGCTTGAGGCTCTGTCTCAAAAGAAATGGACAAATCCAGGGCAGCGCCTGTGGCTCAAAGGAGTAGGGTGCCAGCCCCGTATGCTGGAGGTGGTGAGTTCAAACCCAGCCCGGGCCAAAACCAAACAAACAAACAAAAAAAACCCAAACAACAACAAAAAAACCCTAAAGACTAAAATAAATAATAATAGAAATGGACAAATCCAGAAATCAGAAGATCAGTAAAGACATAGTTGAACTCAACCATATCATCAATCACCTGGGTAATATTGACATCTATAGATTACTTCACTCAACAACAGTAGATTGCATGTTCTTCTCAAGCTCACTTGGAACATTTACTAAGACAGACCACATTCTAGGCCAGTGGTTCTCAACCTTCCTAATACTGCAATGCATTTTCATTGTTACAAAGGGGTCGTGACCCACAGGTTGAGAACCGCTGCTCTAGGCCATAAAAAACACTCTAACAAATTTAAAAGAATAGAAATCATACCATATGTGTTCTCAGACCACAATGGCATTAAATTAGAAATCAATAACAAGATAGCTGGAAGAAAATACCGAAATAATTGCAGATTAAACAACACACTTCTAAATAACACATGTGTCAAAGACAAAATCTCAAGAGAAATTTTAAGATATTTTAAACTAAATGAAAATGCAACTTAAAAAATATGTGGGATGCAAAAAAGCAGAGCTTAGAAGGAAACTTACTACATTGAAGGCATAGATGTAGTATATTATAAGAGACACATCATGGCAATAAGATTAATGGTAGCCATAGAGTCCACTCAAACATCTCTCAGGACCTACTTTTGTGTCACTTAGCAGTATAGTGCAACTTGGCCTGGAGGTTACTGGGTCTCTAAGACAATATGACTTAAAAACCCTGATTGCCCCAAAGACAAGGACACTTCAACACAGATGCAACTTTCATGAATCTTAAAATAAAAACTTACCCACACAAGAACAGTTTAAACTCCTTTATGAAAAAAACACCTCCCGGCTCTGCGCCTGTGGCTCAAGTGGCTAAGGCGCTGGCCACATACACCTAAGGTGGCAGGTTCAAATCCAACCCGGGCCCACCAAACAACAATGGTGGCTGCAACCAAAAAATAGCCGGGCATTGTGGTGGGCGCCTTTGGTCCCAGCTACTTGGGAGGCGGAGGCAGGAGACTCACTTAAACCCAAGAGTTGGAGGTTGCTGTGAGCTGTGATGCTATAGCATTCTACCCAGGGGGACAGCTTGAGGCTCTGTCTCAAAAAAAAAAAAAAAAAAAGAAAGAAAGAAAGAAAGGAAAAAACACCTCCTAACTAACCTAGACTGAATAGAGCTGTGAGCAAGGGGGATGAATCCCCCAAGCTCTGAGAATGGTTTTCAGACAGAGACTCTGCTAGTCAGGCAGTCATCTGATCCCTGACTGTATCTGGCCTAGGTCACTGATCTACTCCTGCTGGCCATCTTTTAAAAGCACTGCCGGTGCCAGGTATTGTGGCTCACGCCTGTAATCCTAGCACTCTGGGACACCAAGGCAGGTGGATTGCTTGAGTTCACGAGTTGGAGACCAACTTGAGTAAAAGCAAGACCTCGTCTCTACTAAAAATAGAAAAACTGAGGCAAGAAGATAGCTTGAGCCCAAGAGTTAGAGGTTTCTGTGAGCTATGACGTCAGGCACTCTACCAAGGGTGACAGCTTGTGACTCTGTCTCAAAAAAAAAAAGAAAAAAAAAAAGCACTGTCAGAATATACTTTCTGAAAATGGTACCTAACCTCATCTTTTTATTTTTTGATATGAAGTCTTACTCTGTCGCCTAGACTGGAGTGCAGTGGCATCATAGCTCACACAACCTCAAAATTGTGGGTTCAAGCAATCCTCCTGCCTCAGGTTTCTGCTGAATAGCTGGGCCAATATGCACCCACCACAATGTCCAGCTAATTTTTCTATTTTTAGTAGACATAGGTTCTCACTCTTGCTCAGGCTGGTCTGGAACTCCTGAGCTCAAGTGATCCTCTTGCCTCAGCCTCCCAGAGTGCTGAGATTAGAGGTGTGAGCCACTGTGCCCAGTTTTGGTCACTCCCAAGTTTTAGCCCACAATAACCCAGGCTTTTTACCTGGTGTCTAGGATAGCACTTTGGGTTTTTATTTTCTACACTCACACATTTGTGTGAAGGTTGAGTGTGGGCACTGAGACAGTACAACAACATGAGTGTACTGAACTATATACTTAAAAATGGTTAAGATGGTAAATTCTGTTATGTGTTTTTTGCTACAATTAAAAAAATTTTTTTAAAGAGACAGGGTCTGGCTATATTGCCCAGGCGGGTTTTGAACTCATAGGCCCATGTGATCCTTCTGCTTCAGCCTCCTAAGTAGCTGGGATTACAGGCATGTACCACTGCACTAAGCTATATTAATTTTTTAATTGGAAGCAATAGCCTGAATTCACATCTCAGGTTTACCACTCACTAGCTATGTGACCTTAGGCAAGTTACTTAACTCCTCTGTGCCTATCACCCAGATTTCAAATGTAGATAATAATAATAATATTTAACAACTCATAGGCTTATTTATAAGAACTTGAAGAGCTAGTCCATGTAAGGCATTTTTAATAATGCCTCACATTGTAAATATTCGATGAAAGGTGGTACTCTATCCATCTATCCAGATACCACTGATAAGAATTACCATTAATTTATTTACTATTAAATCAGGAGAACCCAGCCAATTATAACTATAAGATACTATTGATTTTAAGTCACAACTCAATATTAGAGATGTAAATGTAACAAAAAAATCTTAAAATCAGTGAAATATAGTATATTATATGGTCTTCACTCACCACATTTTAATATGTGCTCTGTATTTTCAAGCTACATGTTTTTGTATTCACTAGGTTTATTATTGTTGTTTAACCTGAAATTTCTCCAGTCTTATACCTCTTCTCTGGCAAAATCCTACCTAGCCTAAAGGCCCCTATTTAAATGACCCCTTTTCTGTGAATCCTTCCTACACCAGTCAGTATATTGCCTCCTCCCAATCTGAGAAGTGAGAAGTCAAGTCTACAAAAAATTTAAAAAATTAGCCAGGCATGGTGGTGTGTGCCTGTCATCCAATTACTCAGGAGGCTGAGGCAGAAGGATCACTTGAGCCCAGAAGTTTGAGGCTGTAGTGAGCTAGGCTGACATCACTATGCTCCAGCCTGGGCAACAGAGCAAGACCCTGTTTCAAAAAAAAAAAAAAAGAAGAAGAAGAATTTTTTTTTTCTTTTGAGACATAGTCTTACTATGTCAACCTCAGTAGAGTGCTGTGGCGTGACAGCTCACAACAACCTCAAACTTTTGGGCTTCAGCAATTCTCTTGCCTCAGCCTCCCAAGTAGCGGGGACCATAGGCGCCCACCACAACAAAAAAGAATAATCTTAATGGTGTCCCCTCCTTAGTGCTCCCATATTCCTCATCTCGGTCACAGGTCACACCACCCTTCTCTCCCCTGGTTGGGAGCGCCTCTCTTTTCTGATGCTCTAGCACCTGCAGCCCGGCAGGCCCTTTACCAGTTCTTCTTCAGCTGCATAAGAACTCAAGCAGGTTTCAAGGACGCGCCAAGGAGATGGTCCCCCTACTGGGGATTCAGCCAATAGAAGAGGAGGGAAGCCTGAGGCTGGTTGAGGAGTGACTTCCAAGCCAACGAAGGGGCTGTACAGCACAGCATGATGGGGCTGTCCCATCCCCTCCAAGACAGGCCTCCACACAGTGTAAGGGAGACAGTTCAGCCATGAGGGAGACTTTCTTAACATGGGGAGTCTGAAATAAATTTCTCAGGTGATTGCCTTGATTACCAGTATATAACGTAAATGGCCTAGAGCAATGGTTTTCAGCCTTCATCTTGCATCAGACTTACCTGGAGAGCCTATTAAAACTCAGCCTGCTCCCCTCCCTTCCTTTCCTGCTGAGTTTTTGATTCAGTAGAGCTAGACTGGGGCCCACACATTTGGATTTCTAACAAGTTCCTAGGTGATACTGGTGCCACTGCTCTGGGGAGCCTCCTTGGAGATGGTTCTAAAGCCTGGAAGCAGGCTGATGAACAGGTGACCTTTCCAATTCTATGATGAAATCTTTTTCTGTTCTTAGGTGTTTCTAACTGGGGAGGCTATGCCTTGGCCTGTGCACTGTACATCCTGAATTCATGTGAGGTCCACAGACGCTACCTAAGGAAGGCAATTGGATCCTCTGGAGCACCTCAGGGTCAGAGCTGGATTCAAGCCCTCCCATCAGTCACTAAGGTAACATACCCCATCAGGCCACTCACATAGAAGCAACTTTCTCCCTGGATGAGCAGTAGGCCTGATGTTCTGAGCCATAAAGAAAGGGCCATACCACGCCCCCCTCCAAAAGCCAGAGGTAGAGCCAGCCTTGAAACAAAGGTCTCCTAGATGGAGTGGGTGACCTATGACCTACAGGGACCTTGAATCATGTGGGGCCTGAGACAAGTGACCATTTTCCTTCTAGTTTGACTCTAGGCAAGTTGAATATCCTCTCTGAGCCTCATTTTTCTCATCTGTAAAATGGGGGCAGTCAGCATTGCTGTTGGAAGAACTGAAGGCCTGACCATGGTGGGTGCTCCACAGTGGTAGCAGTACATGGGAGTCCTTCTCACCCTCTTCCAAGAAGTTTACCACCCAGTGAGGACACTCAAACCCATGGGACCATGCAAGTTGGGAAGAGGACCCTATGGACTGGAGACTGGAAAGAATAAAATGGACAGAGGAGAGGATCTCCGAGGGAAGAATGTGGGAACAGAGTCTGGGAGATGAGGAACAGCTCAGAGTCTACTCTGGAGGTAGAGAATGGGAGGCAGGGGGTATGATTAAGTAGAGGAGGGCTCTGGTCCTGGAATTTACAAGGACATCCATGATCCTCCTGAAGCAATTCGCAAAATTGTTCCTGAATGTGCATTTTTCTGGGCAAGAATCCATAGTTTCACCTGATTCTCAAAGTAGTCTGGGGACATCCGGGGAAGAGGCAGATCCTGTTGGCCAGGTCTAAGACCATGACTTTCTCACCGAGGGTGCTGCCAGGGGATAAGGAGCTGTACCACTGCTTTGTCTGAGCTCCTCTATACAGAGGCAACTCTCAGAAGCCTGCAGTTCTAGGCATGGCCTGTCGCCCGGCACAGAGGAAGGGCATTAAGGTCTGCTTAGCTACCTTAGGCGAGCTCACACATGCAAAAGGGAAAGACACAGCCGGGCAGCGGCCAGGCCCTGGTGCCGGGGCCTCAGTTTCCATAGCCCTCACACAGTAAGTCTCCCCCCATGCTGGTTCTGGACTAACCCACCTCCTCATCTGGGGCTCCTCAAGTAGGGACCTGCCCCTCCTGGAGGACGAACTGGTGGGCCAGACTTGTGGGACACGATGATGCATCAGCCTCTAATGCTACACTTCTGGGGGAATTTTCCAGGGGAATTTGGACCAGGGAAAATGACACCAAAGCTCTGACTTTCCCTTTAAATCCTGAGTCAGATGTGACTTCACCTGCAGGCAGACAGCAGGGCTCAGGGATTGGGGGGTTGATGTTTAAGGCTGCAGGAGGAGATCGGCTTGAGGAGATGGGAAGGCAACCCAGAGGCAGAGAGGTTCTAGACATGGGTAAGCGGCTGCTACAAGGCCCCCAGCCACATAGCAGAGCCTCCCCGTGCCTGCATCCAGGGTCCCTCGCCACCTCTTTTCTGTCTTTCTCCTTCTGCCCGTCTCTCCCCCTCAGTTTCTCCCTTTCTCCTTCCCGCCTCTGGCCTCTGTTTCCCTCCAGTACCTCCTGGATAGGTGTCATTGTGCCCATTTTGTAGGTGAGGGAGCTGGTGACTTGCTGCCCAAGACCACCCAGCTAAGAGGCAAAGCTGAGGCCTTGGTCTGGGTTTCTCTGACTCCATCCTCTGGGCTTTTCCCAACTTAGCTCAGAAGCTTTCCAACTTCCTGGTAATGCCAGGATGCCAAGGGAAGGGAGGAGCCCAAGCAAGTAGTGACATTTTTAGGGGGAAATGGTTTGCCCAGAGGGCTTGTCGTGCTTTCTGTGTACTTCCGGGATCTGAACTGGAAAAAAACATGCAGGGTCTGCCTCACACATGATCCCTGATTCACAGAGACACAAAAGAATGAAGCCGGCCAAACAAATTCACGTGGCCCAACACACACCCTCCGGGATGGAAAATTCTCATTTTATATTTCTACCCAGTTCTTCATAAATATATTAATAATGCACAACCCTTGTAAAGAACATAAAAGGGGATGCTTTTACAGCAAAAGCACAAACACATGTTTGTTGAGCCCTCCCTATGGCCCAGTCCCAGGTTTGCTCTGGGAGACAGTGAGTCAGACATAGCTCCAGCGTAGGGAACTCAAGGTCTGTGGGGAGATGAGGAGATGACACATGATAAGTAATTTCAGGAGCCAGGATGAAAGTGCACACAGCAAGCTGCTCTGGGGGGCACAGAGAACAGCTCTTAGCTCAGAGAGTTCAGGGAAGGCTGCCTGGAGGAGGAGGCACTGAGCTGAGTCTTAGAGTGTGGGAAAGTAAGTAGCAGGTAAGGAAGGGTGGGAAAGGCCTTCTAGGCAGCAGCACCCCCATAACCAGTGGGGCGGGGATGTGAAGCAGTGCAGCATGCAGAGGAATAACTAGAATTGTCACACTAGAGTTCTGCAGGTCACTCCGTGGGAGTCTCTGAGTCATCCAGAGATGGTGGGCAGAGCTGTGGCCTGAGTGGGTGGTAGAGTTTGATTGGTTGGGATGGAAAAATGTCCCTCATCCCCACTCAGTGAGTTGTTCCTGTGCTTGTGAACAGGAGATCTTAGAGGTCTGATCGTGGCTGTAGCAGGGGTGGAAGCCCAGGGCAGGTGGATGCCACTGTCCAGGGCACACTCTTGCCTTTGTCCCAGGAGCTCCTCAGAGTAAGGGAGAGGCAGTGCATTTGGGTTTTACTTGAGGGCAAGCTACATGTCTGGAGAGCATTCCTTCCCCAGTCTTCACCAAGTGCCAAGTGCTGACTGATGGCACCTTACAGGGGGCTAAGGTGGTCCCTGAAAGGTCAGGTGCAGGAGGACCTGGGATATAGGGCTGGGGAGCTCGGTCTTTCTCTCTTTCTCAGCCCACAGGGAGGGCCAAGGCACTGCAGTGTGGCAGAGTGACGGAGCTCTTGGAAGGGTTGGGGCCCTGAGAGGGACTGAAGGCCACCAAGAATGAGGCCAGAGGAGTCCACTCACCAAGCTGTCTTCCCCTCAGCCCAAGGGGGGCACAGACAGCAGCCACCCATGCCCCTGTGCCTGGATGCTGGTCTGGGTTAGGATCACTTTCGTCTCTGTACTTCTGCACTTTGTAGTTATCTCCTTTGCTTTCTAGAACCAAGTCATTTTTCTTGTTTGTTTGTTTGAGAGATAGTCTCCCTTTGTGCCCAGGCTAGAGTGCCATCGTGTGAGTCGAGCTCACAGAAACCTCAAACTTTCAGGTTCAAGTGATCCTCCTGCCTCAGCTTCCTGAGTAGCTCTAGCTAGGACTAGAGGCACCTGCCACAATGCTCAGCTAATTCTATTTTTGGTAGAGGTGGGGTCTCACTTTGGTTCAGGCTAGTCTGAAACTCCTGAGCTCAAGCGATCTTCCCACCTCAGCCTTTCAGAGTGCTAGGATTGCAGGTACAAACCACCATGCCCAGCCCCAAGTCCTTTTTAAAAATGTGGAGCCTAAAAGAAAAAAAAATGTCCAGCCTGCTTTGGGTGAGTGGAATGTGTGGTTAGGAAGAACACAGGCCAGAGACTTGGCTGACTGGTTCAAGTCCCAGCTCTACCCACCCCAGCCTTGAACAAGTCCCCTGACCTCAGCATTCCTTGGTAGAGGTGATAATAGTAACTTTTTGAGTTGTTGTGCAGATTAAATAAGCCCCTTTGTACAAAGCACTTAGTGTCTGGCATGTAGCAAGTGTTCAGTAAATGCTAGCCATCATCATCATCATCATCTTTGTTACTGTCCTTTTTCTCCCTGGGTCAGTCTGGGGCAGGTGTCAGGGTGGCCCTGAGCCAGGCTTGGTGGTAGCAGCTGGTGGCTCTTGCCTAGGAGAGCTCAGATGGTCAGAGCAGATGGAGGGTGAAGGTCGAGAGGGAGAGTACCCAGCAAACCGGGGGCAACAGAGCTGGGGCCTCTAGATACCATGTAGTATCACACAAGGCTGTCTGTCTTTCCTTTGCATGGCCTGGGAAGCTGACTAAGCTGTCTCTCTACCGGCTACCCAGTCCAGCCCAGCCCATCAGCCAGGTAGCTCTCCCCTACCTCTCCTAGGATGGGGCCATGCTGATACCAGGTAGCAACAGCGCTCTCCCACCAGTCCCAGTGTTGCCTGGCTGTGACAGAGACTGGGGGGCCCTAATCCAGCTGCTAAGGCCAGAAGTCATCCTGGGACCTCTTTCCCCACCCTCCACGAATGAGGTACCAAGCCCTGTCCACTCTGCTCCTCCTCTCCCACCCCACTGTCTCAGCCTGAACTGATGCAGCCACCTCCAGGTGCTCTGCTGCCAGCTGTTCTGCTCCCTACCTGCCCCAGTTGTTCTCCTCCCCACTGCCACTGCCTCCAGCCAGCTTCTGAGCAGATGGTATAGTCATTCAGCAATTCCTGGGATTCGCTGGGAGTAGCTATTGGTGCAGTTGGCTCCTAACCTGTTGACTAATGATATGTACCCCGAGGACCCCAAGTCTCCTTGATAAGGGAAGGCAGCATGCTAGCTGGAAGTGTCCCATGGCTGCAGAAATTCCCACATAAAGAGAGGATATGACCAATGGGAAGAGAAGCAGGAGAATAAAGCTCAAACAAAGGGCAGGAAATGCCATTCTGGGTGGGTATCCCCTGGGAAGAGGCTGTTAGACAAAGCTCATGTGGAAAGTGGACATACTCTTGGGCCTCCCCCTGCTGAAGAACACCCACCTTGGTCCCCAGGGCAGGACTAAAATGCAGGTCTCAGGCAGGTGTGGAGAGACAGTTCCCGGTGACACTTGCCAACACTTTCTCCGTTATTGTGAAGTTTTCAGTGATGACTCTCAAGGGCCCTTGCTTGGCTCATTCCTACTCTTTCATCACCTCTGAACCTAGCTGCCCCTTGTCTTAGCCCAGGCTGCCCTAACCAAATACCGTAGACTGACTGAACAACAGAGATTTAATTCTTGCCATTCTAGAGATGGGAAGTCCAAGGTCAACATGCCTTGATTCCTTGGTGGGGACTCTCTTCCTGGCTTGCAGATGGCCACCTT